AGCAGAGAAAAGGGAGCCTCGGTGAAATATTCAGGGAGTAAGCCCAGCGTGAGCTATCGCTGCCCACTGCTCCATTGGTTTCAAGTCTCTTTGGGACACTTAGAGTTCAGGAGAAAGAAAGTAAAAAGTTCAGGCCCCAAAATGGATGTGGGCATGAACATGCTCTAGCCCAGTGATGGTGAACCTATGACATGCGTGTCAGAGGTGACACACGAACTCATTTTTTTTGGTTGAATTTTCTTTGATAAGTGGCATTTAAATATATAAAATACATATCAAAAATATAAGTCTTTGTTTTACTATGGTTGCAAATATCAAAAAATTTCCATATGTGACACAGCCCCAGAGTTAAGTTAGAGTTTTTCAAAATGCTGACACGCCGAGCTCAAAAGGTTCTCCATCACTGCTCTATCCACTGAGCCAAATCGGCTAGGGCTAAATGGCATTTTTTTGCAGGGGGGTTGGGGGGAGGATAATCAGTGGTGGAAACTTTTTAGCCTTATCTAACTGATAGTTCATAGGGAGTCAGATGATGGTGGTTGGGTGTTGCTTTGTTCCAAAAATTTGAAATTCAGTGCAGAAAAGGGATGCACAGATGCCTCCTTGTACCATGATTCAGTTTTGTGATATGATGGCTTCCTGGTAGAGCTTTTAGTTGAAGATATACTTGTTTTCCTTATTTCCCATAGTTTGTAGTTCTGGAATATAGTTGCTACATTTAAGTCTTTTCCAGTCTGTTTCCAGAGCTTCACTCTAGGGCAGTGATGGCGAACCTATGACACGCGTGTCAGAGGTGACACGCAAACTCATTTTTTTGGTTGATTTTTCTTTGTTAAGTGGCATTTAAATATATAAAATAAATATAAAAAATATGTCTTTATTTTACTATGGTTGCAAATATCAAAAAATTTCTATATGTGACACGGCACCAGAGTTAAGTTATGGTTTTTCAAAATGCTGACACGCCGAGCTCAAAAGGTTCGCCATCACTGGCCTAGGGTATGATACCTTTCTTTTAGAGCAGTCTTGATGTCGCTTCTTCTTTAATTTCCTAGTTGTAGGACTTCCATTCAGCCAGATTTCAGGAGGTTCTGAATGATGGTTGTTCTGTAGTTTAGTTGTAATTTTATTGTTGTTAATCCTCCCCAGGGGATATTTTTCCATTGGTTTTTTTTTTATTTTTTATTTTTTTAAATATATTTTATTGATTTTTTACAGAGAGGAAAGGAGAGGGATAGAGAATTAGAAACATTGATGAGAGAGAAACATCAATTCAGCTGCCTCCTGCACACTCCACACTGGGGATGTGCCCGCAACCAAGGTACATGTCCTTGACCGGAATCAAACCTGGGACCCTTCAGACCCTAGGTCGACGCTCTATCCACTGAGCCAAACCGGTTAGGGCTCCATTGATTTTTAGAGAGTAGAAGGGGTGGAGGGGAGAAAGAAAAACATCAATGTGAGAGACACATCAATTGGTTGCCTCCGGCATACACCCTGACTGACCAGGGTGGGGATCGAGCCTGCAACCAGGGCACATGCCCTTGATTGGAAATTGAACCCTGGACCCTTCAGTCCTACAGTCTATCCACTGAGCAAAACTGGCTGGGGCTAGTTGTAATTTTGATGCGGCGTGGGAGGAGGTGCTTACCCTGCTTACTTATGCCACCATCTTGACCAGAAGTCATTTGCAAACACTTGCTTTAAAAAAATTTTAATCAACTGCAGGACTTTTACTATCTGACTTTTACTGCTGAGCTTTTACTATCTGGTCTCCACAGTAAATCCTAAGAGTGTGACTATAGTTATGTAGCATTTTCCACTTGTGTGGCTGGTACACCTTTTTGCGGAAGGCTGATTAACCTTTTTCTTTTTTTAATATGTTTTTATTGATTTCAGAGAAGAAAGAAGAGGGAGAAAGGGATAGGAACGTCAGTGATGAGAGAGAATCATTGATCAGCTGCCTCCTGCATGTCCCACACTATGGAGGGAGCTCCTAACCCTGGCATGTGCCCTGACTGAGAATTGAGCATGGCCTCTGGGTTTATAGGTTGACGCTCAACCACTGAACCACACCAGCCAGGCTGATTAACCTTTCTTAGGTTTCCACATTTGGGGAGAAATGCCATGCTAGTCCCATAGTAAGCCTATAGATCCTATTGTTCATGGACTAGATGAAATCAGTCCTAAGTGTTGAATAAGGGCCACTTGACTAATTCAGCATTTGGAGAACAGAGGTGTGATTCTAGCATAGGGAAGCGGACCTGGGAATCAGAATTGTGAAGATAAATATTGGGCCTGGTGGAGGTGTCATGTACTCCCTGTTGGTATGATCCCTTAATACCTCTCTGATGTAACTATTCTCTTTATCCACTAATTGGTAAGCTCGTGTAGGCCTGAACCTTTCAATCTCTAGGGTCTAGCCCTGTGCCAAGCATGTAAACACTTCTTGTGTTATTGGGTAGTTGTAGGACATATATTTGATGTATTAATAAAGCTTTTTAATAATATTAACAGTGAAGATGCTTATCTCTAGACCAATTTCTTAAATACTGTACCTCCATTTGTGTGATATCTTAAATGCCAAGAAACTCAAAATCCTTTTTTTACCTGTGTCTGTTCATTCTTGCCACTTCTGTGAAATAGCAGTTCCTTTTATGAGGGAAAAAACTTAGGTGCTTTTTGTTAATGGTCAGAATAAAGACTTGGGCACCTCTTACCTCATGGCCTGAGTGAGGAGAGTGCTGCTTTCAGGATCTGGGCTGCAGACAGGGTGTGAGATGACAGTCCCCAATGCGGCCTGGGTGCTTGGGCATTGAGGTAAACCTGCATCTTCAAGTGATACCCTTCAGAGATACAGCATCAAGAAGGCACATTCCTGTGCCTTTCTTATGTTGTCTTATCTCCAGATGATGAGGTTCCTGACAGTAGACTGTATCACTGGAACTATCTTCTTTATTAAGAGAAATAATAAGCCTGTTAATGTTCTGTGGCATGCATTTTAAAATTGAGTCCTGTTTTTAAAATTAATACATTTTTTATCTTTATAGTTTGGAGCTGAATTTCGTCGTTTTTCACTGGAAAGATCAAAACCGGGAAAATTTGAGGAGTTTTATGGATTACTGCAACATGTTCATAAGATCCCAAATGTTGATGTTTTAGTAGGCTACGCAGACATCCATGGAGACTTACTACCTATAAATAACGATGATAATTATCACAAAGCTGTTTCAACGGCCAATCCACTGCTTAGGATCTTTATACAAAAAAAGGGTAAGTACCACTGTTTACAAAAATTGTTTTACAAATAGAAGTGGTTTTATTTTTCTCATTGATAGGATACACAGACTTTGCCACAAACTTAATGAAGAGACATTTTCTGTGAATCTTACCATATTAAGCAACAAGTGGATTTAAAACATTTTCGGTATTAATGATTTAATGATTATCTTTACACTTCACTAGTGTACTTTAGAAAATTTGTGGGGTTTTTTTGTTTATGTATTTTTTTAATCCTCACCCAATAATATGCCTATTGATTTTAGAGAGAGAGGAAAAGGAAGAGAGAGAAACATCAATGTGAGAGAGAACATCTATCGGTTGCCTTCTGTATATGCCCCAACCAGGGATTGAACCCACAGCCTTTCGGTATACAGCAATGGTTCTCAACCTTAGGGTCGCGACCCCTTTGAGGGTCAAACGACCCTTTCATAGGGGTCACCTAAGACCATCAGAAAACACATATATAATTACATATTGTTTTTGTGATTAATCAGTATGCTTTAATTATGTTCAGTTTGTAACAATGAAAATACATCCTGCATATCAAATATTTACATTATGATTCATAACAGTAGCAAAATTACAGTTATGAAGTAGCAACAAAAATAATTTTATGGTTGGGGGTCACCACAACAT